TATGCAGGTTTCCATGTGGTTTCAAGATTTGCTCTTAACATGGGAATCAGCAAAATTGTGTTCCCAGTTTATAGAAACATTCTCGCCTTGATTCTTCTCTTGCCCTTTGCCTATTTTCTTGAAAAGTAGGTCACTAAATATTTCAGTTCATTTATTCTGAATATCTTCGACTGAAAATAATTTTATAACTATCTTTTCTTCTGGTTTGATCGCTCAGGAAAGAGAGGCCTCCTCTTACTTGGAACTTCGTCCTTCAATTCTTCCTCCTCGCAATTGTTGGGTATGATATTTATTACAATAAAACGAGTTTGATATCAAGTATTGGACAGTACTAAACAACAATAGTTCAACTTCTTTTTTCTTGTTTAACTCATCAATAGTGTAATAATTAAGAAAACTAATTAAGCGATTATGAAAAAAATGACAGGATCACTGCAAATCAAGGATTCTACTTACTGGGATTGGAAAACACATCGCCAACTTTTGCCTCTGCAATTCAAAATTCTGTGCCAGCAATTACATTCCTTATGGCTGTGTTACTCAGGCAAGCTAAGAGTAAATCTAATATGTATACGTACACAGTATAACAGAAAACTTATTACTTGTTCTTTCCATAAATAACAATTTCAGGATCGAAAAAGTAAGACTAAAGCGAAAAGATGGGATTTCAAAGGTTGCTGGGACAATTCTGTGTGTAGCAGGAGCTTCTGTAATTACACTTTACAAAGGTCCAACAATATACAGCCCTGCTCCACCACTTCAAAGTGCTTCCCCAATGTTTCTTGCCCTGGGCGATGCCAAGGGCAAGAACTGGACACTGGGCTGCATTTTCTTGATTGGCCATTGCCTATCTTGGTCCGGCTGGCTCGTGCTCCAGGCACCGGTTCTCAAGAAATACCCGGCCCGGCTCTCGTTTACTTCATACCAGTGTTTCTTCGGAGTTATACAGTTTCTCTTGATTGCTGCATTTATCGAGAGAGATGCTCAGGCTTGGCTTATTCACTCTGGTGGAGAGCTTTTCAGTGTTTTCTATGCGGTAAATTACCCTTTTTTTTGTCACTATGAGAAGATATAGGAAAAACTCAAAATTAGAAACAAAATTATCAATTTACAAGATGGAAAACCTATTCCTTTTTCAACTTAATAAGCTAGAAATTATACAGTGATTCTCATTTGTTGCTGTGAATGAAAAAGCATAAATAAATTATTCGAAAGTCATGGAAGAAGAGTCTAAAGGCTCCATGCCAAGTGAAAGGGAAAATTTGTCCAGATCTTACACAACACAGTGGGGCAAAAATCCATCAAATTCACATGAGAAAATCCTTCTAAATTAATGTTCGAGTCTGTCGCGTAGATAGACGAGTAGTTGGGTGTGACTTGTAAGCGTGTGTTTGTTTGGGCATATGAAATGACAGCAAAAATAAACTGGGGTATGAATGAATTGGCAGGGAGTGGTGGCGTCGGGGATCGCATTTGCTGTACAGATATGGTGCATAGATAGGGGTGGCCCCGTTTTTGTGGCGGTATATCAGCCTGTTCAGACTCTCGTTGTCGCCATTATGGCCTCCATTGCTTTAGGCGAGGAGTTCTACTTGGGAGGGTACTATTTACTTTCTCTTCCTTTTCATTTCCCGTTTGACAATATTATTTTAGTTGTTAATAATTTTTGAAAGTTTTTTAATCTGACTACGAGAGGTTTTGAAGGAAGTTGAAATAAAGTAACTTTCTCATGAAGCT